AACAAATGTAATAAAAATCAGGATGTTGCACGAGTTTGGTCAATACCTGTATATATAATATTGCACGGTTGGGCAGAGCTAGTGTTCGTGCGACTTCTAAATCGCACTGACCATGTTGTCTAGTTTGGCTGCGAAACTTTTTAAGACAACGCTTCCACCTCGGAGAACCCATCAACGTTAACAAACAATGCTACAGGTAGTTTTCAGGATCATCATCATCATCATCGTGAAGCGAACTTCACTAATCGCTGCCAAACTCGCAATGCATACAAGATTATTGGAACTGTGCATATATACCTTTTCAAACGTTCTGGCCTGCTAAGAAATGACAACAAGAACTCCACATCTGTCGATTCGCTGCTATATCCTTTAGTATCTCCAGCCATCCAATTGTTGAGTCTTTCGGACCCTACACTGGCAGCGAGAAACAAATGTCTCCAACCAAACAGTTGTGGAGTCTTTCGGACCCCAACCTGGAAGGCGAGAGACATCCTACTCTACCTAATGGCTCTGTGCATTTCTTCATGCCTCGTCTCCACGTCGTCTGTTGACCTCCATGCTTTTTCCTCCGGCCCGGATTAGCTACAGCGAATAAGGCGCGGTGTGGCAGGCGACAGCTGGACATCCGCAACATGTGCACTAGCCAGCGCAGTCTACTAATCTGAATTCATGTTTTCTGGATGGAACAGACTGGTAATCAAAAACTGCCTGGGAAAAATGCATAATTGGTGGGATCAGCGTTGGTGGTTTCCGGTTCGCGGCTATGATGATTTTGATCACTTGATTTCCATCGGCCGATTTTCTTTAGAACAGAAACCCTTCGATTTTCCAGCTCACCACACTGCTTTCGATGTGCTCCTATATCTGGTAGGGCGTGCGCCGTCCTCAAAACCCAGGTGCGACTGTGTGTGGGTCTGAATCCCACCGTAGCTGCTGACCATTTTTTTTAGCCATCAAGTCATCTGTTCGGTCATAGTTGACTGTGTGTAGTGCCAACAAAATTTTACACATTGTTCTTTTTTGATTAATGCATCAACTAATCAGGATGACATCGAACTATAGATGAGAAGCGCATAACAGGCACAACAGTTCCGTCAGCTTTTTCACCCGCTGACAGTTATGTTAGGCCCGGAGGCAAGGGGGTCGTTATGTTTGAACTTTGACCTCGCGATAGGTCACGGGGTTGTTTCAATCACTGTAACCAGTCTAGTAGACTCAGTCATGGCAAACAAACCCGTCAGATTGAGCCCACACAGAAACAGAGTCCGATTTATTAGTTAGTTGGTTTTGTATGAAGAATGATGATTGTTTTATGTTGTTCCAGTCTACCAGTACACCTCATTGTGTTAAAATAGCTCACACATCCGCATGATCCGTCTGCGGTTGATCATACACATCTGTGTAATAAAAAAAAGTTGAAAAGTTTTGCTGTTATTACTCCTGCTGCTGCTGTGTACGGGGTTGCCTGAATGTCTTCTTCCAATCAATACAACAATTTGTACTGCTTTGTTCGTACTGTTCTTCTCCATCCTGTTTTAGGACCGTTTTCGTCTCACAACCAAAGCAAACAAGATGGTGTACTAAAGTGCACAATTTGAAGGTCACTCACTTTGTTGCCGCCTCTCGCGTCATCGGAGCAACTGTTGTCCTTTTTTCTCACCCCTGGCATGTGCGTGTGTGTGTGTGTGTGCGTGCCCCATTGATCTTCACCCATAGGAATTAGCATTAGGCTAGATTTTTGGAATTCTCAGTCTAAAGTGTAACATTGTTTAGAATATGTCAAAGAGGTTTTGGTGACCAAAACTGTTGTTGTATGTATGTTCTCGTTTGGGTATAAATATCTGCGGTTTATTGATCTCGTGCTCATCTTGCTCACTGACTAATCCGGACCCAGCCATTAATATACCGGAAACGTCAAGTGTGTTGTGCATCTCGGCTGACGTCTCACTCCACACATCAAACATCATATTATCCTGTCCAGTTCTGTTTCTTTACTGTGGAAACTGTAGTAGTGGTGTGGTAGTGTGTTGAATTTTTCCGTTTGCTTCTCAATATCTGTCTTCTCTTTTGTTGTTGTGTATTCATTCGATTGTATAAACCCCCCTCATTCCCACACTCACAGTCGGCCTGTGAAAAGCAGATATCGGAAGCGAGACCAGATGCGCGCCTCGTTCGATCCCAGCTCCACTTCACATGGTGGTTTTCGTCCGACCGAGATGACCACTGTGGTCGACGCGGAAGCACTGGATAAACTGAACCGGAACTTACTCGATTTGCAATCCGGTTTGGAACGTTTGTCGGCACAACAGCAACAAGTCCTACTGGCCTCTTCCTCAGCCACAGCCGCGGTGGCTTTGGTGGCTGGCGCAAACACGCAACAGGCCCTTTTCAACTCGCCCAACCTTGTTCCAGCACCCCCTCCGGTTACCGTACAACCGCCCAGTCCGGCTGGGTTTACTCGAGCCACGTGGAGTGAACGGCCCAAATTGTGCGATCTCAGTCACAGTCAGATCAATGCAAACCAGACGGAGCCAAGTTCCGAGGAGCAGGCGTTCGCAAGTCCCACTCCCATGGTTGATGCATTCACCCGTTCCGAATCTTCCGAACCCTCTGCTCAATCAAGACCGATTCAAGTATGTTTTCTCTGTTTGTCTTTCGTTATCCACTGTCCATCATTAATGCTATTCGATAGTTGCGAATAATTTTTTCTAAGTATTGGTACAAAATTTAGTAGTTTCTGCTGCTCATTCCAGTGCCTTACAAAAAATTCGTCGATTATCAGCTTCCACCATGCACCACATTTCGTTCTCGTCTACGAACGTGTATCTATACAATAGTCCCATACAACCACACTTTGCTTTTACATCGCGTGTTCACACTCCATTGGTCGGTGGTAGATACACACGGGACATTCAATGAATCGAATCTACACTCTGCCTGCTGTTGTCCTACCACAGTCCCTGATTTTTTCTTTCTTTTAAGTTTCGTTATCATTTATGGGTTGATTTAAAAAATGAAACAAAATAGATGATGCTTATCACACGAGATCCATGGATGGAATGGATCTCACTGAAAAAGACCTTCCAAGAGGGTCGAAACGTTGTCATGAACGCCTTGTGTTTTAGTTTTTCATCCGTCTTGGCCAAGACAAGCTAATTTCCCTCAATGAAACAAAATACTTCTATTGAGTTTTTATCGGATAGTCATCTTCTGTCTCGCTCCGTGTCTAGGATGGTATATCATGTTAGCTGAGGTGCGGTAATTGATTACGAGAATCATACTGATCAAGAGTTGACAGTTTGTCCAAGTGGTGGTTTGCAGCGCACAGTTTCTCTGATTCCTACTGTTTTTGCAGTTTCAAACTGTGCATTCTCGAACTTCATTGATCAGCTGCGGCGTTGAGTATGGCTTTCCTGGTCATTGGTAATGTTGATCAGTGGAAAAATTGTCCCGATTTGAAAGGAGAAGACCGAATTGAGGACAAGCAAATAAATGTTTTGGATGAGTGACCCTGACGGAATTGGACCTGTGGACAACGATCATCGGTCACTTGCGCCAGTGGACGACTGCGATTACCTAAAGCTTTAATTCTCACCTCAGCATTGCTCGTCCGGTTACCCCACCAGACTCATGCAATACTGCTTAGACAGCGATGTTCAAGCACTGACAATCTGATAATTCGAAGCGGACAAGGATTGAGAACCAATGGGTAGGGAGCCAGTAGATTATAGGGAATGTGATTAGCGGCTCTTTCCGAGCTATGTTTAATGCATTTGCTCAGGATTAGTGGAATCATCAGCTGGATTCAGCTAACTTAGGATGTTGGCTCTTTTCAAGTGCTTGTGTTAGACTAACGGCGGTCACAGATTGCATTGAATCTCCAGTTCTGGGTCCCATCGGGTCACTGAATCGGTGATCGTTTTTGCAATTTAAACTCAAGTTGCCTGTCTTGTGCACATATCAAGCTCTCGTTCCCTTGAAAAGTTCACTTCTTGCATAGTGCGTTACTGGGTTCTAATAAAATCATGTCTGTCNGGGGGGGGGAGCTCTCTTCGATTGCTCGACAGGAAGCAATTTTCCGTAATTTTTATAGTTTCCTTTATCTTGCACTTCTGTGCTCCAGTCTTAGTTCGCATCTTTCGACCACGCACGTTGTTCATTGATGAATGGAGTCAGTTGAAACTAAGGCCGCGAACAGTGCGATACTCATTGATCAAAGCTCTCATTACGTCGCACGAGATTTATTAACTAACTAACCACTCTCAATTCTCGTCCAATCTCTACCTGTTCAGATAAGAATTATGCACCCAGAATTTTTATTCATCAAGATGCGTAGAATATGTCCTAGTGACCGCAATCCGTATGGAGGTTAAGCAGTTGCATTGTATTTCTGTAAGCCTGGTGCCTACATGTCAGTCAAAATGTACATAGAAGAGAAAAAAAACTAATTAAATCTCGAAATGTTTAAGAAGGTCCGCAAAAACATGTTCTTTGTTCTCCAGAATGCGTGCTGGACAAAGTATTGTAGAGTCACAATATTTTTTTTGTGTGCGGGCACACGACGGCGTTGAAATTTAGCAGACAGATAGTAACGGCAGAAAATCAAATTTGTGCACGGTGAATGAGTGGGATACATCACAATTTTATATACGGTTTTCTCCTCATTGATTATCAGTTTTTCCATCGGGACTGCAGAGACATGGCTAATGCTGGTTATTGCACGTCTAACCTGCCTAAAGTTTTTTCTTTATAAAAGACAATAGGTGAACACCAGAGTAAAATCTAGTAAACACATGAATAAACGAATGGGAAGATTGTTGAATTTCTACGAAATCAATGTACGTCATCAACGAGGTCAAGGTATTTTGTGGAAGTTTAGTAATGATTTGTCGAATGTGAAAGAGGTTCGATGAAGATTATCTCTGCCTTATGCATGTGCTACTACCGAATGCATTGTGGCTTATCCTCGGCATTATTTGTCGAGTTACTCCACCAGACCCCTGAAGTGCGGTGTGGAAAGCGATTTTCGAAACCAGCGTTTCAGTTTGCATCACCATCCACCGTTCACTTTCGTGCGCCACTTTTGTTGCTTCCTTTTGGCTTCTCATTTGTATGAAACAGAATAAACATATGCAAGTTGAAGGTAGAGAAAATGGATGATGATTTCAGTTTATAAAGGAATTGAGACGCTACACAAGCGGCACTAGTTACGACAGCTATATCACTCAGTGTCTCCAGGACACCACATAGCACTACCGGTCGAAGGGTTGCACCCTTGAAGCGCAGTCGGATATCGCCGTGATGTTGACCTCGTTTGAAGTTGTTCAATGGTAGACGAACCTTCGTACCGTCAGTTTATCGGGAAATCGTTGTACACGAGAGATTTTGCCACCCAAAGAATGGTGGTCTCTCACTTATCTCAGCTACCTCGAAGGGAGCAATCAAATTGCGAGTTGGACAAACCCGATATTTTTTACCTCATATTCCTATTAGAAGATGAGCACAGTGTGTTCCAGTTGAGCTAACCCAGACGAATTGACCGCCTGCTCGTATGTTCATGCAACAGATTACTGTCGTCCGTAGAACCCAGGCCGAATGGCCTTTATCCTCGGGTACACAGGGACAACACAGCCAAGGTAGACGTGTTTTGACAGTTATTTACATTGCAATTTCAATCGTCACAAGTACGTTTTTCGCGATGAACACAGTAAAATAGACAGAACAGATTTGGCTCAGTGTCTATCAGTAGGCGTTTTTTGTTAGAAACCAGTGGTAAGACCAGAGTACTCTGTGGTGTTGTTACAAAGCATTAAGTGAGCAACTCTTCCCTTTTGTGAACAGAAATGTTGTGATGCGGTATTGTACTCCGTATGGTCGACCAAATACAGGCCGCGGGACTTGCCGAACCTGGGGAACGAATTCCGTTCCGATGCCTCCACTACTATCTTCATTATACGCAACATCGTGCGCAGAGAAATCATTTCTGTGCTCATCTCGAAGACAAGCATGATGCCAACACAACAAAAAAGATACTATGAATGGTAGATCACGATTAGTGAAATGAAAATGGAGGAAAATAGATAATGGAGTGCAGGAAGAACAAATGAATCATTTTGTTTCATTTCATCCTACACATTGTTTCCGAATTAAAGAACAGTTCTAGCTTGGTGCCAATTTTTCTAATCATCTTTCTATTAGAACCGCTAACGTGTCATCTCACGGTTTTCTGAACCACTAGTTTGACGCGTTCGACAAATCCTTCATCCATTAACTTGACTTTGTTGGATCCGTGCATCACGGTCTATTGCACACAAAAATCTTTTTTCTCGTACGATGCCAGCGTGTGTGATTCTCAGTGTTTCTGCAAAGTATGCACGATCAATGCGTTCCACTTCTCGGGGTGTTTAGTCAGCTGACAGTCTGTGAGTAAATTTTCGATCAAATAGCTTGATACAAAAACTCCAATTTTTTGCCTTTCGTTTGACAACAGTCTGACAGCGCTAGCTGTCAACAGACCGTTCTATCGTTGTTTTATTCATGTCAAACTCGATTCCTTTCATCTCAAGCTGTTGTCAGATGCTGAACAACTAACTGGCCTGGTCTTCTTTATTATCTGGTTGGCACTTGGCATAATCCGCCTACTGTGTCGATCGCGTATTGTTCTCGTGACGCGCGTGATATAGTTTGTTCAACCTGGGTCATGTTGTTTCTTTTTTTCGGTCTCCTGTTAAGAGCTCAGTAGTAATGCATGGAAACATTTTTTGTGCTCAGTACTTTGCCGTCCTTGTTTTTTTGATGGAGAAAGACGGACGCATTGTTTCACGGAAGGTCAAAAATACTCACCGTCTGATCACTGCTTGTCACACGGTATTTGTTGTTTTTACTTCACATAGAGGTCAGCAAATGACCCAGGGTAGAGAGTCATGAAAAGCAGAGTAAGTGTCTTTCGTCTTTCAGCTTGGGATCAATGAGATGAAATATTGGGTCCTCTTTATCCAATTCGTTAGAACCGATAGAAGACAAATACTGCGAGATGTTAACATTTTAAAAAATCTCTTCAGTCACTACAACGTAAAACAATCTGGTATTTATGCAAGCCAGCTTTGAT